TATATATTTGTCGAATTGAAACTCATTACATAGAAGGTAATTTTGTTATAAGAATAACAAAGTATCAAGCCAGTTTGGTAAATTCGTTGGAAAGAAGGCTCAAATAAAGAAGTACCAAGTATATATAGTGAACAAATTTTATAATTCAGCATCGTTAACTTGAATTTCTTTTGTTTTTTGATAAATTCAAAAAAAAAAAAAAAGTACTTTTGCAAGTTTAGGTAATTCATTGGTTAAAAATTCACAGGGAATACGTATGTAAAAGGGTTTTCTGTAAATGTAAATGTATATCTAAATGAATTGAAAGAAGAAAAGGGTTTCCTTTGGATACCAAAATAAAATAGAAAATGAAAAAAAAAGTTTGGTGTACGGTAAATAATGATGTTTTGATATTTATCTTTTTCTTGAGATTGAATTTTGTAATAAGGGAATCTTTTTTACCTGAAATTTGTTTCGGCTGTCATTACTATTCTGAATTATCATTCAATGTAATACTGAACGTTCTTATCACTCTTTCCATTTAATCCTATTCAAGTTTCTTGATTATCTTTAGTTTTTTCGAAAAATCATCATTTCATTCCTCCTTAAATTTAATAAATCCATGTGGTTGTCTTTTTTTTTAAAAAAAAAAAGACAAGAATACATTCCTTAACTTTCAAAACATATGAAAATTTTGATATGGATAAACAGTGACGTGTTAAAAAGATTTTGATTCCCAAGTATAACATAGCTTTTTAAATTGAATAAAAAAAATTATTGAAAAAAAAAAAATGTTGAAAATAATAAAAGCAAAAGTTTAAATCAATAAAATGAGAAAAACCATTTAAAAAACCTTGAAACTTCCGCGATGACAAGCATGAAAAAAGAGCCTTAAAAGTTCTGGTCAAGTAAAGTTTATTGTTATTTTTTGAGACAGCATAGAAAGACAATTAAGTTTATGAAAAAAATTAAGAATATCCAAAGAGAAGATGGGGGAGAGAAAAGATTTTTTTGGTTCAGTGTGGAAAATATTGTTCACTCAATATTTAAAGATTGCACTAAAAAAAAGCGAATACTTGGTAAAATAAAAAAAAGACAAAATTAAGTAAGCTGGAAAAAAACGCGGATTTTATTTAAATAATAACAATGAAAAAAATAAGAACTATTTATTCGAGGTTGGTTGACGAAAATTCAATTACATAGGTGCAGAAAAAATTAATAGTATTATAAATATTAGTCGCAAAAAATATGCGGAAAAAAAAAAAAATACATCTGATTAATTAAGGAAAAAAAAAATTTTACCTGCTCCTGGCGGGACTCGAACCCGCGGCCTCCGCGTAGCTGTGCGTTGAACATATGAGTATTGCCCATATAAGCACGGCGCTCTAACCTATTGAGCTACAGGAGCCTTCCCGCAGAGTCTGTCAAACATTAATAAATAATATACTTATGAAATTAAAATTATGTTTTTTTGATTTAAATTTTAAATTTCAAAATTTATGCATATTTCATAATTTAATTTTTGATATTGCCTGCAATCAATAAAAAAAAAAAAATTAAAATAATGAATAAATAAACGATTTATAATTAGAATTTGAGAATTTTTTTAATCATAATTTTTTTTAAAATGAAATTTTAAACTTAAAAATCCTTACTACAATTACTCTACTTTCTTCTCTTCATAACATTATCCCTTCTTTCCTTTTTTTTTTTTTTTTCTATCCTCGCGTTGTTTTTTTTTTTTTT